ACAGGCTTACCTCTGAAATCAGAGGCAAAACTTTTACAAAAAAACTGCACAAAGTCTCATTTTGTAGGCCAGTTTAGGATGTTAGAGTTTTGATCTTTGGAAAAAGTTTCATCAGAAAGGATAAGCTGTTGTTAAAAGATATGCAGCAGAAGGATTTATTAAAGACGTTTGGTTTTTTGGAGGCTGAAGGAAAATAGTTGTGGTCAAGATTGGTGAAAGTTAGATGATGTTGGGATCCGGAGGCTTGCCCACCAGAGGGCGCCGAAGATCCCTTCCTGAGGGCTTGTGCTTCCTGTTGGGATCCGGAGGACTCCTACTTAAGGAGGAGGAGACTGACACTCCAGCGCCAGAGTGTTTGCCAGTAATGGTACCAGCAAAACCTGAGCCAGTCTACCAGATCTTGCCTGATTCTTGTGAACCTGTCTGACCTTGTTTTCTCCCTGTCTCTCAGAACCTGACTTGCCTGGAAACCTGAAACACTGAAGAGAGAGACCTCAACCTGGAATCTGCCTGCCTGCACTCAGTTTGCCTCTGCCAAGCTCTCAGTTCTCCACCTGCCTGCACTCAGTTCAATCTCAGCCTAGCCCTCAGTCCTCAGCTCACTGCCTGCCGATAAGCCTCTGGACTCACAAGGTTTCCCCTCTGCAGATCTGAATCCCATCTCTCAGCCAGAAACCTGCCTGCCTGCCCTCTGTCTCCGTCTCAGCTTAGCCCTCAGCCCTCTGCCTGCCTACTAGCCTCTGGACCCCCTGCTGATCAGTTCCACTTCTAAGCAGGTATTCCCCCATCATCTGATAAACAGCAGTTTACCTGGAACTCATCTAACCTCTCTGTCCTCTTCAGTGGAGATCCAGCCGTGACCAGTGTGACCACCCAAGTTCCTGTTCACATTTTATTTACACCTTTGTAAATAAACCTTTTGAACTTTCTCCTAACCTCCATGTGTTTCTGCATATGGGTTAGACATCTAATCCCATCATGACAGATGGCCTCTTCTGTTAGGGTAAGAAATGTTTTCATCCATTCAGTCATGAACACAGATTAGTGGGACTTTATAACATCCTAATAGACTGATTTCATAAAATGTTCTGTATATAAATTTTGATTCCTTAACGGGATTATTAACAGGGAGTGAATGTTAAGTTTTATAAAATAAAAGCATAATTTGACTTTTTTAATTGATCTAATGTCAGATCAGTTTAATTTCTTAACTTATTTTGTTTCTAAACACTTATAAATTATTTAAAAAAAAATAAGTATGGAGTAGTGAGACGTTTGATAGTGTGTGCAATCTTCATCTCCCTCTCTGTACGCGTTTAACCTTGTTCTGATGTAGCCGGTTGACGTCAACTCCTGACGTCCAACATGAGGAGGAAATGTTAGCAGACCTGACCCGGCAGAACAGGTGAAGCGACTGGGGTGTTTCTTCAGACTCGAGAGCAATAGCGTGACATGTAAGGACAGTGACTGGGCAGGAGCGCAGACATAGTGTGACTTTCTATGTTCTCTGTCAGCGTGCATGTAGAGCAGCGGTCAGTGCATACACAGATTGTACACAAAACGAAATTTCGTTACATACAGCTTACCGACAGTGAATGAGCAGCAGCTTAGCAGTGAAAATGAACATTTCCGTTCATAGAGTGCAGTAGTGATCAAAGTGTAAACAGTGTAGGAGACACCTGGTGCAAAAGGCACTGATGTGGAGGGTTCAGAGCGGTGCTAAAATAAATAAAAAAACTCGATATGGTGCAAAATGAAGTAGAAACACTGAGTTGAGTTCTATTTTAAAGATTCACCATTTATTGCAAGTATGATGTTATCAGTGTGATGCAGAGTCTCTCTAGGTTGCCGTATAGCCCGGCCAACCAGACTCAATCACAGTTTGGGAGGCGGGACTTTCCGCAGCATGACCCTCAGCCCCAGAATGACCAAATAATGCCACAGCGCTTTTCTGCTAGCATAACAAGCTGGCGACTCCAACGGAGCAATATTGCAATGAAAATTAACAACATAATATATCCTCAGATTTTTTTTAGGCAAAATCGACATAAATATTTCACAGCAGATTCTTTGTTGGCTGGACATGTTTCAGAGACTACAAACGTACAAAAACAGAGCGGGTCGCTTGGAGTTTTTAGGTTACATTCGCAGTTATCTGATGGGTTCTAATCTACGGCGAGCTTTACGCAGTGTATTTGGGCAAAAATGGCCGCTCCCAGACTCAGTGATCGCAACGACAATTAATATCTTTTATTTAAGCTAAATTCATGAAATCACAGTGAATGTATCAGTTTCAGGTATGATGATGCATTGATTATTCCTTGCTGACCGGACTTTTCCTTTAAAAAAGATTTGGTTTGAAAACTATCCTTGACTCTTTTTGTTAGATTTAACATTTTTTCATCTTCTCCAGTAAAGTACAGAATGCACTCTCCATCACAGACAAACTATGATGCACAATAAATAAACCCAGAATCAGAATCCTGTATTCAAGCTTTAACTTGGCTTTAAATTCTATTTCCAAAAGAGACTTTTTGCCATTATTTGCTTGAACACTTCTATCCTGGGAAAGAACACCTCTGACTCCATCACACTGATCGTTGGTCCTGTTATGAACCCACTGCAGTTTCAGTAGGTAACACAAAATGTTGTGTTACTCATAAAGGTGCAGATGGAACTCATTTATGGCAGAATGAATAAATGTTGAAGGAGAAAGCCAAAGCCTGCATGTGTTGAAACTTCAACCTGATTCTCAGTGTGGCTGGGTTGATTAGCATGTTTTGGAGGTACAGATCCCTAAGCATCATAAGCCATGGAGAAGGCATAGAAAATAGCAACGAGTTCTCCTGGGTGTACCCATGTGGTGACCTCACCTGGTGGAAAAACACCACTGGGATCAGATACAGGCTCAGCAAAAGGAAAGGGAAGAAATAATAAGGAGTTGGTCGGGAATGGATACCTAGAGAAACTCAGCTGGCAAGTTAAGATGGCAGAAACTTCTTGTTTTATTTGTATTTTAGTTTATTGTAGTTCATTCTTTCTATACAGTAGTAGCATTCAAAATGTCCCCACTTTCCTTGATGGTTCCCTTGGTGGTCCTTGGCTTGTCCCCTAAGATTCCGTTTTAAACATCAATCTTTCTACTAAAACATTCTTTCTGTCATGATTTGTGGACATTAAGATCTAAAGAGAAGCGTAATTTTCTGGTCAGACCCTGTAACTCAGTGCAAGGGTGGAGTTGCATAGCCTCGTGAGACCATCCTGATCTCGCGAGCTTTCAAGATTTCACTCGCTAATCAGTCTGGAGACTCTCCGTTGAAGAAAATTTGGAGCCGTTCACCAAACGGACGTCCAATCAGCGTTGGCTTTGAGGCGGGTTGAGGTGTGACGCAATGACAAGCGCGACGGTTCAGTCTAAAGTACATGGTGGCTTCAGCCGATGAAACTAGCGTTAGCGTGGCTATCGAGCAAGTTTTATCGGAATTACAGAGTATTTCTTCATTGAAAGAAGAGCAAAACACTGCTCTGGAGGCTTTTCTCAGAGGAAAAGATGTTTTTGCTCTTCTCCCAAATGGTTTCGGCAAGAGTTTGATCTATCAATTGGCTCCTCTTCGTCGTCGCTCTGATAGTACGTCATATGCTTCGTTGATCTGATTGGTTTATTTGGCCCGTCTATCACCAACATAGGCCAATCAGCTAACCAGTATTTTCGCCCCTTCCCAAAATTACTTCAACGGAAGGTTTCCAGATGGATATGCGGAGCAAATCCATCTGGCGGAGTCAGGTTAGGAGTTGCATGGAAGTGGGCTGCCATTCGGCTGGCAATTGAATGGGAAGGGCCACTTTGAATGGCTGCTACTGTAGCAATATAACAGCAGACAAGAAGGCCCTGTAAAGAATAGTGAGGGGAACTGAGAAGGTCCATGAACGTCATTGTCCACAGTGCATTATCTGTTTCAGGTTAGGAAGGACCAGCTCTGAGAAAGGATGCCTCACACGTTTTGTATGAATGAACATCAGCCATCGTCAGTGATTGAGAATCTCTAGACCCGGAGGGAACGCCGGATTCCCGACACATCGTTTTCTAACTCTCACTGGTTGTAACCGATAAATGCGTGTTAAACACAGGTCGAATTTAGTTAATTCTTCAGTGACAGGTTTTTCTATTACTGCCACCCACTGGAGGTATTGCAGTTTTCCTTACAGCTTTCCTGTACGTAATTAGGCTGTTCTGAATGAATATCCTGTAGCCTTTCAGAGCCATGGAAACAGAAAAAACACAAATGACCCAATATTGTATATGGTAGCAGATTATTTTACATCATTTGCACCAGATTACATCCAAGACCGAGACAGATTCTTAGAAAGAAGAGACATTTCTCTATATCTTTCATAGGGTTGACTGGGACTCTCACTGCTGCACTGCAAAAAATGAAATCTAAATAAGACATTTTCCCTTAAAATAGGTGAGTTTTTATTGAATTGACGAGGGAAGTGAGACACTTTGCCAATGAAACAAGACAATTTACATTTAAAATAAGAAAAAAACTATTACTTTGTCATATTGCAACTGCATATTATCTAATTATCTTATTTTAAGAATAAAAATACAAATTCCATTGGCAAATCATCTTATTTACCTACTTATATTAAGGGTGAATGCTCTTAATTTAAGAAATATTGACTTATTTCTGGATCGTTTTTGCAATGTGACCTTCCTCTGCCAGGCTGCTAGCTTCTAAGTTAACTTTTAATCAGACTGCTCACCTGCACCCACTGCAGCCCGTTTAAAGATAGTTCTATATTATAGTGACTCAAATCCCTGTCATATCCACTAAAGTTTATCTTTATTTCACTCTGACCTCCAGAAACCTGATTCCATAATTAGTTGAAAGCTCCATCTGTACCACATACATCATTCTTTAAGTTGATTTTTTCTTTTTTTTTTCAAAAAAGTGATAATCTCAGTCAGACTGTTGCATCAAAGCTCTGTTACTGACCTGCTGTTAAATTTCTCAGGGTGTTTTTCCCTCACCAGATGAAAGCGGTGGGCGATAGAGGCATCCTGTATGGAGGAGAGAGGGAGACAACATCACCTGCATGACATGATCAAGAGGTCAAAGGCAAAATTAAGGCCATTTATTGACAATGTTAATCAGACCAATCAGGAATCCATGAATTATAATGCTTTGATAAATACTGAATGAGTAGAAAAACAGAAGGAAAAACTGTAAATACATTTGAGCAGCTGGAAAAAGCAACTCAAAGAACCCATGGTGATAATCCATGTTTCTGTTTGACACCAAAATTCAAGTAATGCTTTATTTTACATAGGGGTGGGTATTGCCAAAGAAGTCCAGATTCGATTCGAATCACGGTCCACATACCACGATGCGATTCTATCACGATACATCTTGATACTTGAAATATTGAGATGCCTCAGCCTCCTCCGTGTTTTGTTTATGAATGACTCGTCGCAGTATCCCTTGGACGGAAATGCTTGTGACACAAAGCAGCGGGCGTCAACACATCCGCAGCGACATCTGCTAACTGGAAGCTGTATTCCACTTGTTTTTGGCGGATTTGCGCCAACCGTTCATGTATTATATTTATTCCTTTTTTAAAATTAAGAATCGATACTTTGCATCAAGAATCGATGCAGTAGATCACAACAATTAGAATCGCGATGCATCGTCATGACGATTATTTTGCACACCCCTAATTTTACAGTACATCAATAAACATGGAATAACATAGCAAGTCACCATATATAACTTGGTAATGAGAAAAAACTTTAATTGGTTATTATGCATGTAATTATTACAATTGTGTGTTAATCTGTGACCTAATGGTGGGTAATCACCATTAGGTCACAACATAACGGTTTCTATCAGTGGCCAACATCTACCACTGGATTACAAAATAAATTGTAACTTATTTACATATAAATAAGAGTTTAGGTGTGAAGATTGGCTTGCTGTCTTCTAGGCTTGGTTTTCTGTTGCCAAATAATAAACTGCATTTTAATTGATAATAAGACATTAATTTATTGCTGTCGGTGAAATGACTGAGTTACCTGGTAAAATAGGTTTTAAATATAAGACGTCTGGCGTTACCTTGTCTGCCTAAAATTTAAAGCATGGCACTTATAAAAATCCACAGTTTTTCTTGCTACCTAGTAATATAGAGTAACTTGCTCTGTTATTAGCATGTTAATACGTGGTTATTGATGAACTGTAGAAGAAAGCGTTACCAAAATTCAAAAAAGCCATTAAAGACACGACAGTTTTGTTTAAAGGAAAATTCCGGTTTTTAACACTTTTAGCCCATTTTCTGTAGTGTCCAGGATGAAATCGAATGATCGACACCAAAATTTTGACAATTGGTCCTGTCTCTGATATTTGGCTCATGCAGAATCCCCCCCTGGCTGCTTTAGAATGGCTAGCATAGAGCATGTCCGATAATGTCCTTAAAACAACCTTAAACGTTCTTTTTTTAAAATATGCTACTCACCGAGTCGTCAACGCTGTTCAATGACGTTCCAAAAAAAGTTTTGTGAAGAAAAAACCTTCCTGTAGTGTTTTATTTAGCATTTTGTAAATCCCATTGAGTTCTGTTGGAATAGTCAATATCCCTCCGCCTACGGAAACGGAAATGGGGCCTGTTTACGCTTAGTTGTAGTCTTTTCGCAAGGCCCAAGTGTTTCTGCGTCACTCTGTGTACTCCGATCTCGAGGTGCTAACGTCTCTGTTAAACACTTTAAAAAACTCTGAAAATGGAATACGAAAGGTGGATTCTTGAGGAGGACATATTGGAAATTTGAGTTTGACGCTAGAGGATACCGTCGCCAACTAGTGGTCTGGAGTGTGCAACGCTTCAGATTCGAACGGGAAGCGGAAGTTTATAAGCGGTTGTGATGTATCGGAAAAAATAGTTCTGGGATTTACAAAATGCTAAATAAAACAAGACAGGAACGGTTTTTCTTCACGAAACTTTTTTTGGAACGTCATTGAACAGCGCTGACGACCCGGTGAGTAGCATATTTTAAAAAAAGAACGTTTAAGGTTGTTTTAAGGACATTATCGGACATGCACAATGGAAGCCGTTCTGAAGCAGCCAGGGGGGGATTCTGCATGAGCCAAATAGCAGAGACAGGACCAATCGTCAAAATTTTGGTGTCGATCATTCGATTTCATCCTGGACACTACAGAAAATGGGCTAATGATACATAAGTGTCTCGTTTTAACCCTCTATGGCATGAATTTTTATTTTATGACGAAAAAAATATTTCACCCTAGTTTTGGGAGCTTGAGGGGGTCTTTATAAAATATCAATCAGAAAATGTGCTCCACCCTGCCCCCCTCACCAGATTTTGGTTTGTTGTCTCAGGGCAACAATATGCTATGAGGGTACTAAAACGCCAAGGTTTTCTTTAAGTGGAATGATGAACAAACAAGCAATAAATACATTAGAAGAAGTTTTATTTCAAGTTTTATTTCAATTTCAACAAGTTTCCTTTCAACAAACGGCCACAAATGGTTTATTAATTAGTGCATTAGAGATTATCTGCAGTGTGTTTATGTTTCTAAATACATGTTCCTGTGGGGTACTGAATGGCTCTGTGTTTCTCTTTTTTACAAAGTACAGTTTGTATTATTCTGTATGGAACCTCATGAAACAGTTGCTGGTGGATGTGAAACAAAGGTGGGCGTCACATTTTTGGCACTTGGCTTTAGGTGTACCTGTGCATCTTGGTACCTTCCATCTCCCTTTCTTTTCATCCATGACCATCCAGTGGGCTGTGGCATCCAGACGCACATCAGTGACTGGGATTGGTGTAGTGGGTCCTCTTCTCCTCTTCTCTTCGTACTCCCCAGCAATTGTGGAACTGGGACGACCTCTCTTGCCCTCCAGATTCTTGCCACTTTTGCACAAGCTTTCTGCAATATACAACTTGAATGTATAAAGCCTCATCTCATGGGAATGAGCCTAACCACTTGATCATGTTCCTTACGACCATAAAATCTTCGTGCATCAATTTCCTGTGATTAATAGTAGATAGTACAGAAAAAAAATTATTATGTTGATAACTACACATCCCTACACATCCATGAGCATGTTATAGTTCACACAAAAGTGGTCTAACTGCACAATGTTGCCCTGAGGCAACGAATGAAAAACTGCAATTTTAGTATATAAATGAAGACAAAAGGTGTCTTTACTCAATCAAATATGCTTTTTTACTTATTCATGCACATCACAGATATTATTTATACAAAATTATTTAAATTTAAACATGTAAAAAAGTGAAATTTATCTTACCTTCTGCTAGAGGTGTGTCCAAGTCAGCTGCGGTCCAAAAAAGGATTGTTTCACTCCAAGACAAAGGTCAAAGCCACGCCTAGCCCAAATTTCATTGGTCACAAACATATCATCAGACTTTTAATGTGATGTTTTACTTAAAAAAATGTTAAGGGGCGGTGTGTGGGCCAAAATAGTGGTTTGTTGCCTGAGGGCAACAGAATGCCATAGAGGGGTTTTAAATAGTCAGATGATGTGCATCATGGTGGATTTACGCTGAACGTGATTACAGAGAAGTTTCCACCTTATTTGTACGTTATTTCTCACTTAACATCTCGCCAAAAACTCAAACGGATGACAGGAACAATGAGCTCGCTACATGGGCTCATCGAATCAAGGGGGGTTCTGTCTGCTTCCTTGTTATCTGTTCAACCTAACTTGGTGCACCTGAGCGAGTCAGAGTGGTTTAGTTATTGGTGAAAGCCCGGAATGTGTCACTGGGATCAGCAGGATCACGGTCACTTCCTGTGGTGATTCCATCTGACCAGAATCCAAAAGCTGTTCTCCCACTTTGGGATTAGGTGAGGAGGCGTGGCCAATAAGCCATCGGGACAGTCTCTGTAGCCACAGGAGGATAAATGATGAATTCTAGGGCTGAATTATCTAGTATGTCTGCTTCTGTCTCCTTGAACCCCAGTGGGCCTCAGCAGATGGCCGCTCACACTGAGCCTGGTTCTGCTGGAGGTTTCTTCCTGTTCAAAGGGAGTTTTTCCTCTCCACTGTCGCTACAAGCATGCTTAGTGTGAGGGATTGCTGAAGAGTCAATGAGTCGATGCAATCAACTAGTTTTCCTTAGATAGAAAACTTTCAATCAATCTGACTGGATGATCTGGTTGAACTGTAAAGTGCCTTGAGATGACATGTGGCGCTATAGAAATAAACTGAATTGAATTAAAACAACTTTTTTTAAGCCATCCAAAACCTCCACAGATCATCTAAAATAACATTTCTATATTTTACTTTAGTTAAAAAATCATAGTCTGTGCTGTGCTGCTATGTCACAGCCACATCTGGTCCTGATTGGTGGATGTAGAGACGTCCTTCACATCGATACGCTTCTCTCCTGAACGTGCCTCTACATGAGGATAACATGTGCATCACTCGCTCTGTTTGGTTCCTCCACGTTTAGTGCAAATGCACTATTAAAGTGCAGAAACATTCACGCCCTATAAGGATAGCTAGAACTTGATATCAGGACACATCTACGACCTAAACAGACTTTAAGCAATTATCCCTTCCTTATCTCTGATATCTCTCTGGAGTTTAAACAGATGATTTCATTCTTTGAGGGATATGGCAAAACAATTTAAATATATTCTAGCATTAATACCAAGCAGATAAATAAAATACCAAAATAATGCTCTGAGTCAGCAAAGAAAAGTAATCTAGATGTAGGTTGATAAAGAATAATAACTTAGATATTACTGGGAGTTTCATGTAATTCGATTCAGTTCAATTTAAATAGCTACAGGCTTCCTCTAGAAGTCCATTCTGCTATGCATTGTCTTGCTGAACATGACGCCTCCAGTCCAGTTTTATATTTATAGGATTCAACCTTTCCTGTTTCTTCTGAAATCTAAAATGATGCTCACACTGAGTCTGGTTCTGCTGGACGTTTCTTCCTGTTCAAAGGGAGTTTTTCCTCTCCACTGTCGCTACAAGCATGCTTAGTGTGAGGGATTGCTGAAGAGTGAATGAGTCGAT